TTTCCTGTGAATTTAGGTTGAGTTCATATTTGCTGGCACTCTATCCGTGAGGTGTCTTTTGAAGCCAAGATTGAGGGTAACTTTCTCCAGAGATAATTTTTTAAGATTATTTACTTTTAGAGGGAACAGAGGAAGAGAGGTAGTCAAATATTGATGTGAGAGAGAAACGTTGATTGGTTGCCTCTCGTACACACCCCCACTGGGGGCTGAACCGGCAGCCCAGACATGCGCCCTGACCAGAAATTGAACCAGCAACCTTTTGTTTTGTGGGACGGTGCTCAACCAGCTGAACTGCATAGGTCAGGACTCTAGAGATGACTTTTGTCTGCTTTTGTCAGAAATGAATCTTTTAAAACTACGATGATAAGCAACACAAACTATACAAATAATGTAGATTCAGGTACTAAACTGATGTAAATGGTGGCTGGTGGCTATTAATGTTCAGAACCTGTACAACAAAAACAGAAACAAAAACCCCATCCACAGCCAAGATGGAAAATGGTAAGTTTCCTGTCCGCCTCTTCAATTTTTGTTTTGCCTTGCTTTATTTTAGCTCACTGTTTGTAAAAGAGTATTGTCTTTATGTGAAGGAGACTCTGATTCAACTCCCCATTACTCACTTGCCCAAATCTCATTACATATCATCCAGGCTATGATGGCCAAGAGAGTCTCCCATATTCTGATAGGTCCCCAGCTCACCTGTTTGGAGGGAAAAGATGAGCATGCACCAGCCTCATCTGGAGGATTTTCTAATACATAGATTGCTGAATCTTATTCCCCGAGTATCTGGTTTAGCAGATCTGAATTTGGGCTCAAGATGTGTACTTCTGGCAAGTTCCCAGGTGATGCTGATGTGACTGGTCTGGGAAGAACACTGGTCTTTGAGAACCACTCCTTCAGACCAGGGGTCAGTAAAATTTTGACTTTATGAACCATATGGCCTTTGTCAAAGTGACTGAACTCTGTGATAGCATGATAGCAGCCACAGAGAATACATAAAAAATGAAATGTGCATGGTTGCGCTCCAAGGAAATTTACAAAAATATCCTCCTGGCCATGTTTGGTCAGGGACCATAGTCTGCTAACTCCTGGTCTAGACAGATGTCCCCACTCTGACCTGGCCACAGGAGGTTTCTCTTGCTTTCTGCAGACACATCCAATCAATTGAAAAGTGTCTAAGTGCATTTTAATGAAAAATTTTAGATGTTATATAGCAAAAAAAATCTTTTAGGATATTCATCTTACCACATTGCCAGAAATAGAATTGTCTGACATATTGAAAGAATTTAGGGCAGGACTTGTCTAACAGAGCTGATTTTCCTGCAAGTCCAGTCTTTTTAGTAATCCATGGCAAGTTTACGGATGAGCCCTAGGACATTTCTCCTCCCCCTCCCCTTATGGAACATACGCTCCCATTTTGCTCAGTTACCTCAAAGGCCCTGAACTTACCTTTCTGCCTCATCTCATCATGCCTTTGGATGTATTTTTCCATTTGCAGGGTTGCCCTTCTTTCCCCACATTAAGTTTGGGAAATTCCTGCTACTTGTTTCATCCTCCTTAAAAGCTCCTCCTCAGAATACTCTCCAGCTCATTTTACAAAGCCAACATTACCTTGTTACTAAAACCAGGCATGGACAAAACACACAAAAAGAAATTATAAGCAAATATCTCTGATGAACATAGGTGGGAAAATCCTAAGCAAAACAGTAGCAACTTGAATACAGTAGTACATTAAAAAGATATCATGTCACAATCAAGTGGGGTTTAGTCCAGGGATGCAAAAACGATTCAATACATGCAAACCAATCAAAAGATATATACCACATTAACAAAATAAAAGATTAAAAAGCATATGATCATACTAATAAGTGCAAAAAAACCATTTGGCAAGATACAACATCCATTTATGATTAATACACTCAATACAATAGGTATAGAGAAATGTACCTCAACATAATAAAGGTCATATATGACAGACCCTCATCTAATACCAAACTCAATGGCGAAAAACTGAAAGCTTTTCCTTTAAGATCAAGAACAAGAGAAGGATGCCCACTCTCACCACTGTTACTGAACATAGTACTAGAACTCCTAGTCATAACGATTAGGCAAGAGGAAAAAATAAAAGGCATAAAACTGGGAATAAAAAAGTAAAACTGTCATTATTTGCAGATGGCATGATTCTGTGTATAGAAAACCTTAAAGACTCCACCAAAAACTACTGAAAACAACATACAAATACAATAATGTTATGGTATACAAAAATCAATGTACAAAAATGTTACATTCCTATATACTACCAATGAAATATTGGAAAAAGTTAATTCCATTTGCAATTCTGACAAAAAAATAAAATACTTAGGAATAAACTTAATTAAGAGTGAAGGAACCATACACTAAAAACTTCAAGATATTGTGTGAAGAAATTGAAGACGTAAATAAAAAGGTATTTTATGTTATGGATTGGAAGGATGAACATAGTTAAAATGGCTACTATATTGCCTAAAGGCACATACAGATTTAATGCAGTCCCCACTAGAATCCCAATGACATTTTTTTCTGTTTTAAGATTTTATTTATTTTCAGAGAGAAGGGAAGGGAGAGAAAAAGAGCAGGAAAGAAACATTGACGTGCAAGAGAAACATTGATCTATTGCCTCTCGCACACCCCCAGCCAGGGACCTGGCCCACAACCCAGGCCTGGGCCGTGACAGGGAATCGCAATGGCAACCTTTTGGTTTGCAGGATGATACCCAACCCACTGAGCCACGCCAGCAGGATCCCAATGAAATTCTTCAAAGAAATAGAGAAAAAAATCCTCAAATTTGTTTGGAACACAAAAGTCCTGAATAGCCAAAGCAATTGTGAGAAAAAAAGCCAGAGATACCACATTTCCTGACTTCAAACTATACTTTACAAAGCTACAATAGTCAAAACAGTATTGTATTGGCAGAAAAAGGAGACACACAGGCCAATGGAACAGAACAGGGAGCCCAGAAATAAACCTACACAAATATGGGCAACTAATTTTTGACAAGCCAAAAACTTACAATGGGGAATGGAAAACCTCTTTGTTTTTTAAATGATGCTGGGGAAACTGGAATGCCACAGGCAAAAGAATGAAACTAGAATGCTAGCTGACGTTGTATACAAAAGTTAAGTCAAATGTATTAAAGACAGTAAATAAAAAGACTTGGAACAATAAAATACATAGAAGTAGGTATGAAGCTCATGAACCTTGGTCTCAGAAGGGCTTTGTGTACTTGACCCCAAAGGCAAGGGAAGTAAAAGCAAAAATAAATGAATGGGACTACAGCAAACTAAAATGCTTCTGCACAGCAAAAGAAATCATCAAGAAAACAAAAAGGCAACCAACCAAATAGGAGATGATATGTGCAAAGGATACCACCAATAAGGGCCTAATATCCAGAATATATAAAACACTCACATAACTGAACACCACCAACAAAATAACCAATCCAGTAAAAAATGGGAGGAGGACCTGAACAGACACTTCTCCTAAGAAGACACACAGATAGATATATGAAAAGATGCTCAACTTCATTATCTATTAGGGAAATGCAAATCAAAACCACAATGACATACCACTTCATACCTGTTGGAAATGCTATTATCAACATGATGAGTAATAACATGTATTAGAGAGGTTGTGGAGAAAAGGGAACCCTTGTGCACTGTTGGTGGCAATGTAAGTTGATGTAGCCACTATGGAAACAGTATGGAGGTTAATTAAGAACAGAACTACCATGTGATCCCTCTTCTGGGTATCTATCCCCTGAAAACTCAACACCTTATTTGAAAAGGTATATGTAACCCTCTGTTCATTGCAGCATTATTCCCGATAGTCACAATATGGACACAACCTAAGTGTCTTGCAACAGATGCATGGATAAAGATATGGTACCATTATACAGTGAAATACTACTCAGCCATGAGAAAATGACAAAATGTTGCCATTTGTGACAACACATATGGATCCTGAGAGTATCATGCTAAGTGAAATAAGTCTGGTGGAAAAGGACAAAACCACACACATGGGATATAAAACAGAATGCAACAAAGACAACAAACTCGCAGACACAGACAACAGTATGGTGGTTACCACAGGGGAAGGGGGAGGATGAAGAGGGTGATGGGAAGACTAGACTTCATGTGGTAAGCACACAATGCAATACACACATGATGTATTACAGAACTGTACACATAAAACTTATAATAATGTTATTAACTAATCTTACCCCAATAATTTAATTTAAGAAAAAGCTCCTCCTGGGGCCCAGACTGGTACAGTTTAGTGGATTGAGTGCCGGCCTGCAAACTGAAAGGTTGTTGGTTCAATTCCCCATTAAGGTGGTTCAATTCCCAGTCGGGGCACATGCCTGGGTTGCAGGCCATGTCTCTGGTTGAGGGCATGTGCGAGGCAACTGATCGATATTTCTCTCCCTACCCCCCTTCCCTTCTTCCGAAAAAGGAATAAGTCTTTTTTCTAAACTTCCCCTCTGTGAAGTTCTTCCTTCCCAAAGCTGCTGCTCTGTCCTCTGTGCGCTCCCCTTTATGTGGCCATTATTATAACTGTTGAACTGCGCTGCTGTTGCAGTTTTTAAGAATGTCCCCTTGCTAGGCTATGGGCAACCTGAGAATGAGATCTGTAAATGCCCAGAGCCTGGAATGTTTTTTTTACTCAATAAATGTATTTATTTACTTTTGAAAATTTGAAAAAATGGCTAAATGAGTGAGATTCTAAGGAATGGGATTTTAAACAAACCACTTGTTTAAACCCTTGATTTTTAATCTTATCTCAGTAATGGGTAGCCAAATGAGAACCTCCGAAACTCAGTCCTGTTTATTACTCTCCGTCAGTCAAACCTACGTGAAGTCTGCAGGGAAACACACAAGGACGGAGACCACTGCGTGCCTCACACCCAACCGGCATCAGGGAGACCACTCCCTGTCTCTGAAATAAAACAAAAGGCACAGTGTTTTGTTTCTCTTTTATTGCAACCCATTGCAAGGTCAAAAGATTCACAGAAATATAGAAACTACAAACCAGTTAAATTTCCTTTATCCACTCAAAAAGACATTTAAGACAAGGGACCAGAATTTTCTACTACAGCAATATATTTCATAGTCTTTATTCTGAAAATACTGTTGACATTTTGGAGAGGATAAAAAGCCCTGCATTAAATGTGTTCACATACATTTATGACATTCTAAGCTGAAAAGAAAAGGAGGAAGAAAGAAACTCTACATTGCCCAGAAAAATCATTTTAAGCCTCATTTCAAAGCATCTAATAAGAACACATTTAACAACCATCACAGGATCACTCAAGGTAATGCTTTTTCTGGTTGGGTTTTTTTTTCTTTTGAGATGAATGCTTTGAGGCTGGATGTGATATTTCTATAGATTTCTACAAATACACCAAAGCAGTTTTCCAGGCTATGCTGCATCAGGCTTTCTGGATTAGTCAACATTTTAAAGAATAAGTGCAATTCCCCCCACCCTCCCTACCCAAGCGAAAGCATGTTTATAGTGCTGTACTGAAGGTTCAAACAATGCAACGTTTTAAAAAGTCAGTTACACACTTCTGAAGCCACTCGACAACCAAACTGTGACACTCCAAAGATCATTACAACTTTGAAATGAAATGACACCATCGATGGTGCTCCCTTCTTTATCTTTAACTATTTAAAATATAGTGTGACATATATAAAAACTAAACTTCTGCTTATTCACTTAAGCTACTATTACTATACATACTGCCTTATAAATTAGTATTGGATTAAAAACCAGTTAAAATATTATGATTTAAGATATTTTTCAGTGGAGGGGAAATGAAAACAATACAGTTTGATGTGTAAGAAGAACCACAGTTTATTAATAGTAAACAGCTGTTTTTCTTTACACAAACTTTATTCCCTTCAAATTAAATTAGCAATCCATTTAGTGACGGAAAAAATACCCTTGGTGGGTACTGACTAGATTTTCCTAACTGATTTGGATTAAAAGAAAAAAAGCCACATCAGAAACATGTTGACATAATCAAAAGAAACAGCTGTTTACATTTTTGAAAGTCATTATAAATAAGTGAAGGGCATTTAAATGCAAAGCTATTTTTTGTTCCTTACAGCTAGTCTCATTTTACAATATTGGGACTTATAGAAAGTGAATCTCAAACCTTAGTATACCTGGTAAAGACCAACACACAGCCATGTCCACACTGGGGAAGAATAAATAGCAAACGCACCAGTCAGGGTTTTGTATCTAGCTCTACTGGGAAAGATAATCACTCTTGAGCATAAAAAGGCTCCCTGCTGTCTTCATTATAAATCTACACACAGGAAAGGTTATATGAGCCTGAGTCCTTACTATGAATTAATTCTAAAGATGTGTGAAATCAAAACATATATTCATTTACCAATAGATATTTTAACCGAAGAGTGTTCATCTTTAAACAAAGAAATGCTTATTTCTGACAAGTTTAAACAATTTTAATGAAAGAATTTTATAATTTTTCTTAACTCACACATTAACCAGCAATAGCTCTTTGCAGTAGCATAAGAACTATCCAAAAAATAACATGCACATAACCAAAAAACATGTTCTAAAACTGAAAGCAAAGCAAAGGAAAAGACTGTCTACTTATATCTCACTCAATGTTCTATTAATGTGACTACCCCCAAATCTCAGAAATGTAATTTCATAATTACCCAAATTAACAAAAATAATTAAATGATCTGTAGATTTTTTAAAAAATAACTTCACACTATTAATTACATTGGTGGCTTTAATGTGAACAATGGTAAGATTGGCTCCAAATATCATTAAAATATATCCAGACCAGTTACTACCCATGAAGTAAAAGCTAACACAATGTTGAAATAAAACTCAACTAAAATATTCAACAGAACACATTTGTAAATGAATAATTAACTTTTGTGAGCTGGCCAGGGGATTGCTGCCTCCATATAAAAATGTCACAAAAGGATTTATCCTCTCTAGTCCCTAGGTCACCTGCCAGACAGCAGGTGGGCCACCTGTGGGAACAGCGGGCTGGGCAGAGCCGTAGTGGATGGCAGGCTCTCTCGGGGGTCTGGAGAAGGGCCCCTGCGTCAGAAAACAATCTAGAAAGAAACTGCCCTGGTGAGCGTGTGGGTGCACATGTGCATGAAAATTTGAAAATTTCTGGTTTCCAGACTTCTAACCAGTGGAACATCACTTACGTTCTGGTTGTCATCAGCAGAAGCACACAGGTCTATCTCACCATGAAAGAAAGCAGTTGCCTTCATTTTGGGACATCACCAAGTGGCAGGAATTAGAAGCTCAAAATAATAGACTCAATATTTTGATTCCATGGTAGAAACATTTTTTTTTTGAGAAATAAGCCTTTGAACTTAACAAAGGAAAGGTTTGTACCTTTTAAAATCTTTAACTTTTAAGAAAAACATCAGCTCACCTGGGAATAAACAGCAATTGCACTAATGCTATGCAGTATGCAAACAAGACACAAATATACACACTCGGGTACACACACAGACAGGTGACAGTTAAAACCCTCCCAAGAGATCACCGACCCCAAATCAACACCTCCTCTCTGCCCTGCCAAACGAACGACGGATCGGAGCTGAGCTTGGGCAGGAGTGTTAGGAGGAGGCGGCAGACATGTTGGGGGTCCAGCCCATCTGGTAGGCTCTCTCCAGGGTCCTCTTGCAGTCCTGGAGGACGGTGCTGAAGGTGATGTGGGGGTACTGCTGCACCAGCTGCTCCACTGTCACTTCGTTGACCTGTAACCAAAGAAGAGCCGCCGTCATGCACGTGGACCACCAAGACCACCGGCTGCCCATGTTCACTGCCAGCTCAGAGTGGCGGGAGGAGGCCCGCCCTCATTCCTTCCCAGCAGCGAGAGAAGTGCTTGGGGAGAAGATCCACGCTCCTTTTTGTCTGACCGCTCTGGTTTCACCCTTATGGACTTTAGCATATCAAGAAATCAAATGTGTGTTCTAGAAGCATAAATGACTAAGACTTGCTGAGATCCAAAATCGATGTCCACTGACAATCTAGTGCTCGGGAGGTAAAGCTGCTGTAAGGAGTATTTGAATGTGCATTGACTGAGTCGTCAACCCAGCAGGCTTTTCAGGGCAAAACTAGATTGGTGGGCAGGGTGCACAAGGTCCTAGATGGAAGTGCTGGGGAAAATGTTTATTTCTCTTCCCTTTAAATGTTACGGTATTGCAAACTTCAAGTCCCTTTGTGAGAAGGGCTGAAATGTGAGGAATCAATAATTAAAACATACATGGCTGGCGGGTCAGAGATGGCCCCACTAGACCTTAACCATCAAAGATACCACCTTGATTCTTGATTAGACAAGGCAATCAGACAGGCCTAATTAAAACTAACACCTTTACAATTGCTGTGCTGTGAAGGGATTAATTTGTCAATTATTTTTAAGCTGATTGCAGTTCATATCACAGAAGCAGACAGCTTCCTTCATCCTTTAGATAAATAAATGATTAACCTAAGAACCACAACTTTTAGGTAGCTTTATTTAAAATCTTTACTGAACACTTGGGCATTTTCAAAGACATCAATATTTCATTTATCCTACATAAGCCGGTCTGAACGTAGGTGCTGTGGTCCACATTTTTGTGCTCCTTCTCCACGGCTGTCCATTATTGGAAAAGATCAGGGCTACCAGGAAAAACCTAAAACAACGTGAAATCCTTGCTGTTTGCTTTTGAAAGCCAGCTTAGAAGTATGACGACCATGACATTCAGTCCTCTGCACTATTCTGAAATAATATGGTGTTTTCTGAGTGATTGGGAAAACTGTGTTACATACAATCTTTTTTTTTTAATTTTAGAATTGATGTTTCAACATTGGGTTGATGATACTTAATTTTTGTCAGAATATCTCTCTAGTCAAGACTTGCTTTTATGTAAATTAACTTTTATTCTAAATTCAAACAAGACATGCAGTTAATTCCTTTTGTGATATAGATAGGATGTAATTTTGAATAAAAAAGAAAACACTGATATACAAATTACAGCTGAGAATATGAACTGATGGTCTTAAGTGGATTTTTAAGCAATATGTTTTCTTAGTTTTTTAATTTAAATTTATCTTCTAAGTCTTGCCGTAGTTGAGGCAGCTTATAAGAGTATATTTAGAAGGTCATGCATCATCAAGCCCTACCTCTCCAGCATGCTTTTTGTACTGTCCAGTCACCTGTTAATTTCAGATCATCAAGCTGTCCAAGTCCTGTCTGGCCTCAGAGACTTGCACCGGTTGTTGTCTTTTTAATATACTGGGACACTACTTAATATACTTCCCCCTAAAGATCACCTTCTCATGCCTACTGTCTACTCATTCTTTTAAAAAATTACTAATTTTGGCATACAATATAATATTAGTTTCAGGTACGGAGCATAGTGACTCAACATTTATATATTTTATGGTATGATCAGGAGTCTAGTAACCATCTGTTACCATGCAAAGTTATCACAATATTACTGAGTATATTCCCCTTCACCTTTTTTTTTTTTTGCTTTTACCATACTCACTCTTGAGTTCTTAGGTTCAATGTCATTTCCCCAGGTAATAATCACTGCCCTATCCCTGCTCCCCTCTCCTAATGAAGGGAGGTTTCCAGGTTGTTCACCCTTCCAATACTGCCCACTCTTCCTGCATAGCACTTATAAAGTTAGTGTACAATTGCTCTTTTTAAATGTCTATTTCTCATGCTCCAATGTAAGATCCTTAAAAGCCATGGTCATTTTTGTACCTATGAACCAGACCTACTTATTAGTGAATGACTGATAAAACAATAACTGCAATTAAAAAAAACAGAAACCCACGAGCAAGGCACAGCTAGACACTACTACACCGATAATCATGAAGACCAGCCATTCCCTGAGGAACTCCTCAGCTCAAGAATCCCCTCCTCCAGGAAGCCTCCCCTAAGCAAGCCTGTCTCCCCATGAGCTTGGGTTAGGCAGCCCGTCCCTGGGGACCCATGGCTGGCACCCTGCAAGATCTGTCTTTCCCTTGAGCACTCCTGCATTGCACTGCCATCATCTCTTTACTCGCCTACCTCTCCCACCTGAACAAAGGCCTCTGCCTGTCATGCCGGCTGCTGAGCTATGCACTTGTTGAGAAGAAACATGGCAACTGTCCCAATATGGAATGTAAGGGTCAACCAGAAACAGGTTTGAATCCTGGTGTCACTTTACTTCTTTAGGACTTGATTTCCTCAACTATAAAGACAGGGTAAAAGTATATATATTATAGGACTATTATAAAGGATTAGCTGTAATGATACGCCTAACACTGTGACTAAAAAGGCCCTCAAATTACAGCTCTTATTATTGCAGCGGGCACAATTACTGAATGCATGAGTTAACTAACAATATGTTAGGATGACCAACTCTCTGCAGTAATGCTCAATATTGCTCTACTTCTAGATATTTCAGAAATAAATCTTTATAACATTAGTTACAATGTTCAAGATAAAATAACCACAGAGCAAGAAGTAACCTTTAAAATATACTTCATACACAAGAAGAATCTATCTTCTCTTAACCTTCTCTGGAGGAGATTCCAGAACTTTCCTCAAGAACCTATTTTCTGGAAATCCTCCCTTTTCTTTACCTGACGTTCCCTATGCTACAGGTAGGTTACCTTCCTCCCTCCTGTCAGAAAACCCAGAAGGATGCACATCTCACTTGGAGAGCTGAGTTCACTGGGTCAGAGGGGATTCTCAGAAAACCTGTATCACACTGTGAAGGAAGTAAACACGCTCCAGAGCCACTTAGCATTCAAGGAACAACTAAGTGAAAAGAGACTGGAAAAAGACTGGAAAAGAGAAAACACTGAAACCCACCATAAAGGTGGGACTGTCTTCTCTGGTACTTCTTTCCTAAACTGTACAAGGGCCTGTGACAAGTTTTATACCTAGGGTTGACAGGCAATTCATTTTGGAGGTCCAATTTTCAAAAACAGAAAGTATCTCTATGCGATACCTTTTACAGGAAGGGATACAATTCTCACCTTAAGCAAACTTGCTACATGAAGATAGGGATTTATGAAGTATATAAATTAGAGAGTAATTGTTCATTTTAGCAAATACTTCCATGGAAGGGTTAACTTATTTTGTCGGCTCTCCCAATGTGTGTTATGTACCCTTTTATGGAGCAAAATTCAATTCATCTATTTCTCTTGTATAAAGTAAGACACACTTATAGTTGAGAATACAGACTGTTAATTCTCTGGCTTTCATCGGTTATGGGCAAGAATAGACAGTACTTTGGCTTTGTAGAGCTGCATGAAAAATGAAACTAGAATTCCTCTGTGGATATAATATGTCTTCTAAGCAATCTTTTTACTAACCGTGCTCTGTGAATTCTGCAAAACAGCGCAGTGGGGGAAATGTAAATAATCCATTTTATAGCTCTGCTGGGTAGTAGTTATTCAGGGAAATACACGTGGTCCCACCAGGGAAAGTTCCGTCTTCTCCTTACAGGGTCTCCTGGAGCCTCAGTGTGACAATCTCACACTAAAGTGGTTTTCATTTACTGAGAAGTACAAATTACGTTCACCGTTTTGTGCAGACTCTATAAGCACTTCCGTGCCCTACACAAGGAGTTCAGTGTGAGATACCAGGAAGTCCCACATCATTTTAAATCCTTACAGCTACGTACAAAATTTGCAGATATTTTGTCAAGCGCAACTCTGTTTCCTAGAATGAAAAGAACTGTCCTCTGTTACAACTCATAAAATGTGTGTAATATAAAAGAGCAACATAAAGATAAATTATTTAAAATTTCCCCATGACCCCTGGTTTTTGTTATTCAATTTCTTTTCCACTTGCTGAAAACTATCAGTGGCAACACCTATATTACACATACAATTTAAAAAATGCAGCGTACAAGGCAGGACCAAAACCCTCCCTGGAATTTATTTATAAAAATTGTGTATTTATCCTTACACGTTTAAACTTTAGTCACCTTCAAAGTACTTTCCATTTGATGCAATGTACCTACTGGGACTTTTGTCCCACTGCTCAAAATGTTTTTTGAACTTGTTGATTTTGACGCCTTTTAGTGCTTCTGCTGGTGTTTTGTTTCACCTCTTCCTCATCAGAACAATGTTTCTTTGTGAGGACTTTTTCCATCAAGGGAAACCAAAAAAAGTCCCTTGGGGTGACATCGGGTGAATAGGGAGGGTGTGGCACGGGGGTCATACAGCTGAATATTTAGTGCGGTGTTGGTAGGTGTGTTTGTAAATCACCCATCGTGAAGTGGGTGAACACATTGAAAGAGTCTTCAGAAAAATTCACTGCATCCGAGCACAGCCTGTCACAACAACGCCAGCGGGTGCACTGATACAGATGAGCTCCGAGAACACTCGCCTAGTGGGGGAAGCCTGCACTACAAGGGGATGCCCTCTCAAAGATAATTCTGGGTCTTTGGGGGGTCTCCTCTTTTATCTTCCTAAGGAAATATGCAGTGGTGTCACTTAAGAAATTATGATTAAAGAAGGAAAAAAATGCATCACGGGATTGTTCTACACATAAAAAATATTGGATTTTATATTCCTCTCCAAAGACCGCATAACCATAATTTACATTTTCAAAATTATTATAATTCTTTTTAAGGTAGTAGCAATTTGTCTGTTTTTTAATCGACTTTGAGTTAACATCCATTAGCACTTTTAAGAAATGTGAGGCAAATTACTGTGCTAATTAAGGTGAATCGTACCATAGTTTCATTCTATTGCTGCTGCTACT